ATCAGCTCCAGGCATGACGAAGCAGATATCGTCCTCTTTTGGAAGGCCAAACAAAGTAGTTTAGCTTTCACAACGAAGCACACAGCGTCTTTACGACATGGCGGCGGAAACAACAAAACTACAGCGAGAATAAAAGTTACGCCTTCTTTCTTTGCGTGAACATTTGGGCGGCGTTATGCAAATCTTCCCACATAGCGACGTAGATATGTTGGGGCGTGTTAGAACGAGCCGTTTTAGGTAGGCGTGGCTGAATCTTAACTTTTATAAAGAATATCTCTTTGGATTTGAGACTTTAGTCTTTGCAACTTTACAGATCTTCTTTATGCACCAAGAGCTTGTAACACTCCAAAGAGAAAGGAAAAATTGAAATTGCATCATATGACCCCTTTAAATCGATCCAAATTGAAGACCTTTACATTGGTATTTCAAATGAATGCTATTTTTAAATAAATGCTTAAATGCTTTTTTAACATCTGTTTTTAGCATTGATATTAATAAGAAATGTTTCTTGAGCAACAAATCAGCATATTAGAATGATTTCTGTGGGATCATGTGACACTGAAGACTGGAGTAATGATGTTGAAAATTCAGCTTTGGAATAAAAATTCCATCACATGATTAAATTACATTTTTAAATATATTAAATTATAAAACAGTTACTTTAAATTGTGATAATATTTCACAATATTAGTGTTTTTATTGTAACAATATACTGTTTTTTTAATCAAATAAATACAGCCTTATTGAGCATAAGATACGTCTTTCAAAAACATGAAAAAACATTATAAACTAAATTTAATTACATGTATTTTTGGCTGTTATAAATTTAATAGTTTTTAAAATGTTTTTTTTTTCTTTTTCTTTTTACACAATATATTTAAAAATCTCCAAATTACTTACTCTGACTTGATTTTAGTGTAAATGTATCTGCTCAAGTTGAATGCTGACACACTAAATATGATCTTTGTTGTTATTATGCCATAAAAATACTGCTCTAAATACAATAACAAATCATATAGTTGGACGGTTGTGTGTATAAAAGATTACCTCCTTCTGGAAATGCAAATCTAGCCACTAGTGTCATTACCTTTAATGTATTAATATAGAAGGTGAACAGTGACACCTGCTTTATACTGTAGTAGCAGATTGTGTTTTTGTTAGTGCCACATTGTGACCACAGCTGAGGGAGCTTAGTTTAGAGGCATGGTGGTATTATAGTTGTTTAGTCAAGCATTGAGTTTTCCTGTGATGATGCTTTTATGTGCCTAGCCAGTTGACACAACTCTGCATGACGCTGGTTTAGGAAACAAAAGTTTTTTAAAAGCTTTGCCAGGCTTTGTTATACAAAGAGCATTTTATGTCATTCCATTTTCATCTGGTAGTGTTTAATCACCGAAAGGAGCAATTCTGCACTTGTGTATTATTCATTCACTACTCTGCATCATAAGATGCCATGATTGTTCCAGAATTATTAAATAGCAGTGTGGTGGCGCTAACACTGCCTCACTGCCCTAGGATCTGTGTGCACAGGAGTGTGTGTCTACGGTTGTCCTATCTAAAGCTCAAGTCCCTGCATACAAAGGGCATGAATATGCATCCCATCGCAAAAAAGGTTATGTTTGCGGGCTAGAATGTGTAATCGCAATGTTTAGGCTTTGCAATTTCTCGTGAAGATTTCATCTGTCATTCATAAGCACTTGGTTTGTGTAATAGTTAATAGTAGCCTGCAGAGTGAGACTTTCGATTTCAAGCCGTGCAATGCAATCGCCAGCCCACAAGTCAACAAGTCAGGTCTCCAACTAGGCACTAGCTGATTCTCAGAGGCACTTGTGTACCTCAACAGCCTACCTACTGCTGTTACTGCCTTCCTATTTCAGTCGGGTTGCACTGTGGGCCAGTGTGCTGTCAAACACCTGTCTGTGTATGTTCTGTTCATTTGGTTTCACCCTTACTGAAATGTGTGACTCATTTTCCCCCAAGGGCTCTGTTTTGTTGGATACAACGCTTCTGACAAAAGCTGCCACCTTGAATGCTAATGTGGTGCTTGCTGGTCTTGGAGGGTCAAGTAGAGCTTGTTAATAACCTCAAGGTGTGCTTAGCAGGAGGTTGAAGAGTAGCCAGTAATAAGCTGTCAATTTGGGTTTTTGCTGCAAAGACGTTGGCATGTTACAAGGTGGGAAAAATATGATCAAAGAAAAGAGGCATACCAGTGCACCTGACTGATAAGGCAGAAAGCTTACTTGACTTCTGAAAAAGCAACTTTTATGTTTTTACTGTATAAGATTCAGCTGCTGAATTATTTAGCACTGTGAATATGGAGTAATAAGATTAAAGTGGATTTTTGCATTATTTGAAAAAGAGAATAGCACCATTTTTGTCTGTTTTATCATGCAGCAGGTGAACATTTTCAGTCTGATTGCTTAGCAAAGTAATTGCACAAAATGCTGTATTCCAAGCATCACATTTCAAACTGTTACTCAACAATCTCCACCATGGAAGAAATGTGTATTTGTGACAGCACAGACGTTGCAGGAAACTTGCTGCTAGCCAATCTGGTCCCAATTTCAGGTGGGGTTTTTTTTACATCTGATTTATTTGAAGACCAGTGTCTGCACAAATTAGCCCTCCTATTAAGCAACCAGACAATATCAGTGTTCTTTGGAGCTATTCTGCAAAGTGCTTGTGCGCATATATTATCACATTTATGGCAAAGAAACAAGTCGTGTCCCAGAAAACTCTTGAGGTATTTGATAATCCACCTGCATATAAAACAGAGTATGCATGCATGTAGTAGTTATTTACTTGACGCTTATTCATGCTTACCAATACCTTATAATTTCCTTTTCTTCACACTTTCTATAGATTTATCACTATTTTTATGTAGTGAAAACACATTAATGCAGTTACATTTATTGAAATGGTTTTCAGTGCACCTGACGTATCTGTTTAAAGTCCTCCAGAAACTTGATTTTTAATGCAAATCATAGATAAAAGTAACCTTACAGTAGGAATTTGAAAACTGATTTTTTTTTTATGGCGCTGCGCATGGCTGACTTGGTTTGTAGCTCCTTGGTACATTTACTATTTTTGTTTCTAGTTTGTCCTGTTTTAAGTAACTTTTTTCCGATCAGCTTTACTAGGGACGAGCTCCTAGACATCAATAATAGCACGGCAAAAAAATTTTTGCCAACTTTTGAGCATTCAGACGTTTTACTGGACATTCTAGTTGGAGAAGCTGTGATCCTATAGAAGTGCTCCAAGCGACACAAACAAGGGAAGTGAAATTCCGACAGCACGAAAGGACTCCGCTGCCAATTTGATGAATATCCGCTCCCTAGCAAATAAAACTGGTTGAACGGAGCCATCCCAGACAGGTCTCATCCAGGACAGCAACGAGTCTTACAGACAAGAGGTTGAGCAGCTGGCTGTCTGGTGCAGTCACAAGTTACAACCTGGAACTGAACACGCTCAAAACCGTGGAGATGATTGTAGACTTTAAAAGTAACCCCCCTGCACTCCCACTTCCAACCATCGTGAATAGCATTGTGGAAGTAGTGGAATCATTCAGATTCCTGGGCACCACCATCTCACAGGACCTGAAGTGGGACAATCACATTGATTCCATTATGAAAAAGGCCCAGCAGAGTATGTCCTTCCTTCGTCAACAGAAAAAGTTCAACCTTCCACAGGCACAGATGACAGTTTTACTCAGCTGTTATTGAGTCGGTTCTGTGCACTTCAATAACTGTCTGGCAGACAGTTACAGATCTCTGTGCACTAGAACATCTAGGCATAAAAGTTTTTCCCCCCATGCCATCTCCAGCTTAAACCGCTAAAGCCTAGTTCACACTACATGATTTAAAACGTGGGCAGATCGCTGTGCTGTTCAGACTACATGACTTGCTGTCTGTCTTGGAAGTCGTTGTGGTGTTCACATTACGCGACACTACATAAATGATCCGCAACAGGGCTCCACACAATACACGAGCTGACAACAACTCTGTCACCCAATGACTCTACACGGTCCCCAAACCAAGTTTTGTCATGAAAACACACGTGAGAAGTGGAACTGGAATGACGCAAAACAACAAGTGAAACAGGATTTGTTTATTTGAAAATGGACGTAGAAAAGAAATTAGTGCTGCAAGCTGTTTGCGTGATGATCTGTTTTTAAAAATTTGCTCCATTTCTTGTGTCCAAACTTTTCTTAAAGCCGTGTTGCTGCTTCTGTTTTGCTTCCGCTGATCTCAACCCATGCCTTGCTCTCAGAGCCAATCCTCCCTATATGCAAAATATGCAAGCTGCGTAGGGCCCCCGAAACACCAGGGGGCACACTTGCTCTCAAAGATGATTTCATTTTAGTGTTCCTCCCCCTGACACAGTTTTGCGTAGGGCCCCCAGAAATCTAGGATCGGCACTGCCTGCTCTCTCATTGGCTGTAGCTTGTCGCGACACATGCCACCACGTTATGTCGAGTCGGCCGACAAGTCCAGATATTTAGCTTGCTAGATATTTGTTTGGCGTCGGCAATGCGTCAGTGAGCCTCTTTGAAGCGTTGTTGAGTGGTTCACACATAAAGATTGCTGAGCGCTGATCACCCGCTGATTTTCCCCCAATCATAGTCCGACCTGTCGGCGAGCTCGTTAACTTGCATATCGGGTTTAAATCGGGCTTAAAATCCTGTAATGTGAACTAGGCATAACACAGAAATTACCACCTGTCTTCTGTAATTAATTTCTTAATAACTAATTATTGCCTCTCTCTCAAGTATTATTTAAATACATATACATATTTTTATTTATACAGCTATATATACAGTAAAAGCACAAATCTGTACATAAATCTAATGTTCCAGATGTATACGACATTATTATTATTTATTTTTTTGTTTTTTCCTTAGTCTTATTTAAATGTTCTTTCTGTTCTCAGTGTCATATATTTATGTATGTATGTTTGTACCAAGAGCTCCTAAAAAAACTCAGGTTCACAAAACTGTTGTCCATAAAATGCGTTGCACAAATTCGAACATCTGGGTTGTGCTGTTCTGTTGTAAATAAATCTTTTTATTTTTTGCCAATTGCCAATGATTCCTAATTGCATTTACTTTCGGAAGGCCCAATAAAGTGCTTTTGCTTTCGCACAGAAACACGCAGCGTCTCACTGACATGGCTGAATCAACACTACTGTGGTTCCTGAAACCACGCCTTCTTTCTTTGCATGAACATTTGGGCGGTATTACGCAAATATTTCCACATCGTGACGTAGACATGTGGGGGCGTGTTTGAATGAGGCGTTTTAGCCTGGTCTGGATCAGCCTTTTCTTTTAGATAGAATAAATCCTTTTGTGGGAGACTTTGAGCTTTGTAACTCTGCAGATCTTATACATGCACAAATAGCTACATGAAACACTAAAGAAAAGGAAAAATAGAAAACACATCATATAACCCCTTTAACGAAAAAAAATCAAAGTCCTAAAAAGTATTTTCAGTGCTGTTAAACCAACAAAAGCGTGGTGCAGAACTAGGGTGGGTGCTTGATTGGCTTCACTAATTACCAATTACACACTATTTAGTTTAGAAATAGGATTTCCCTGAAGATCATCAATGTTTTCGTCTTTACATGTAACAATCAATAAAGTGATAATTAGTCTTGTGAAGTAATTTACCCATGCCTTGTTGTTTTGTTTCCCATTTCCTCTTTCTCTCTGCAGAAAACTGGATGCATTCATATATGATGCAGCTGTCCTGAATTACATGGCTCGCAAGGACGAGGGCTGCAAAGTAATGACCATCGGCTCTGGCAAAGTGTTCGCTACAACAGGATATGGCATTGCCTTACACAAAAACTCCCGCTGGAAGCGGCCGCTAGACCTTGCCCTCCTGCAGCTAGTTGGAGATGGTAAGAGAATTTCTACATGAAATGAATACCTAGATACACCCCAGGTGTATCTAATGGTGGTTTGTTGATTGTTTGTGGAGTTGTAATCTCCTATACTCAGTCTCAAACCCCTGATTTTCACTATGACAAACAAACATTCCTATTGTTTTGTTTTCATAGTGAGTGAGCAGAATTTTTTGGAAATTAAACCGTTATGAGTGATGTTACACTTTCTCCCTTTCTCTGTTTCACATACACACACATTCACATGCTTTTCTCCTGCATTGCTTGTTTTTCTTTGATGAGACTCAATGATGAGGAACCTAGTGAGTTGCCCCATAATGATTAAATAATTAATGTGAAAGGGAGCTGGAAGAGTCTCACTGAAATATGATAAATGATATTAGAAAAATTGTCACAGCAAATGAATACAATTATGAATAGCCAAAGGGTCACTTCAGTAAACAGCGCGGTAGCGGAACACCTCGATTTTTACGCATCCCAATTTGGATTGAAATTCTCAGGGCTGATTTTGCTTGTTTGAATGAATAAATATAATGAAAAATATTAGGATTTCAGTTCCTATGATTACATTTCCCATTATCTAAAGCCTGGCTCACACTATGGGATTTTTCCCCATCCTGAGAATCGGAGCAAAAATCTTGTCGAGCCCCTCGATCGGTCCCGATGTTCGGCGCGGATTATCTGGTAATGCGAGGCATTCACCGATCGAATCTTGCACCTCCCGATCTGCTCGATGTAAACATCACTGAAATATCAATGACGATCTGCTGCGTGAGATCAGGTGAGGCGCTTCCTCTGGCATGATAATCTTAATAAGATCTTGTAGTGTGTGATGCTCCACGATGTTAAAATCTTGTAGTGTGTGCATGTTTAAGATTTGAGGCAAGATAATCTGCAAAGATTCTCCTTATGTGTGTGCTGCAACCAGATTTCATAATCAGTTAGGATTTTAAAACTCCTGTAGTGTGAGCCCGGCTTAAGCCATAGTTCAAGGCCATATTGTCATAAATTGAAACGTAATTAACCTGCGGGTCAGCGCGGTTTTGTTTTTATGCTTTGTTTCATATGAAATGATGATTTAGACTTATCTCTCTCCTTCCTTCGTAGTGAAGGAATAATCCTCGATATAAAGCTGTCATCTTAATGCATATGTCGTTTTTCTGCCAGAAACATGCCCTTGTCATGCTTTTTATTTTTTCCCACAGTGACATTTTCACTCTGATAAATGCACTAATGGCTATTGTTGGGAGGTAGGCCCATCAGTCTAGAGCTTTCATCTCCAAACTACTACGGGCCTGTCTTATCACAAGAGCCTCGAAACCAGGCCATTTCAAGTCAAGTCAAGTCAAGTCAAGTCTGCTTTATTGTCAATTCTTCCACATGTACAGCACATACACACAGAGAATTGAAATTGCGTTACTCTCAGACCCTTGGTGCATACAGATAACACTAACAGTAGAACATAAATACAGATATACAGATTAAATATAAAATACAACTATACAAATATACAAATAAGGTAAAATGTAAAAAAAAATATAAAAAAATATATATATAAAGCAGCACACGGCAGATAGAGTGCAAACCAGTGAAGTAAACAACAGTGCAGATATAATGATTTGTAGTGCAAAAAGAGCTTATTTAGACTGATTAAAGTGACTGTGTGTGTGTATTTGGGAGGGGGGAGTGGGAGAAGAGAAAAAGAGCTTATTTAGACTGATTAAAGTGACTGTGTGTGTGTATTTGGGAGGGGGGAGTGGGAGAGTCCGTCAGAGGGTCAGAGTTCAGTGGTGCATGAGGCAAAAGAGGGGAGGGGGGTCAAGGTCGGGAGGGAGCTCAGCTTCCTGACTGCCTGATGGATGAAGCTGTCCTTCAGTCTGCTGGTCCTGGCCTGGAGACTCCGCAGTCTCCTCCCTGATGGCAGCAGACTAAAGAAGCTGTGTGTCGGGTGGGTGGGATCACCTGCAATGCAGAGGGCTTTGCGGGTGAGACGGGTGTTGTAAATGTCCTGGAGGGAGGGGAGAGAGGCACCAACGATCTTCTCAGCTGCTCTCACTATGCGCTGAAGTGTCTTGCGGCAGGATGCGTTGCAGGCACCATACAACACAGTGATGCAGCTCGTCAGAATGCTCTCGATGGTGCCTCTGTAGAAGGTGTATATGATGGGGGCCAGGGCTCCGACCTCCATCTCTTTTCAGACCTCCATCAAAGCTGTTATTATCCTCCAGTCTCTCTTTCCACCTCCTTGCCTTTTATGATTCCTTTCCTGTTTTTTCTTTTCCATTTTCACCTTTTTGTGAACACAGTGTAATAATAACTGAAGCTAAAGCAAGATCTACACTGTCTGTAGATTTGAATTAAAGACTTACTTTTCCCAACAATAGGGTTAGAGTGCTCTCTTGCTTTCTTTAGCCTTTCTTTTTCATTTTCTCCATTCTGTCCATCTGTCTTGTCCCCTGTTTGTAGGCCTACTTATCTTTCATGCTTCTTATCTCCTGTCATTGTGCAAATCTTTTCCTTTTTTTCAGATGAGATTGACATGCTTGAAAGACTCTGGCTGTCTGGGATCTGCCATAATGATAAGATTGAGGTGATGAGTTCCAAGCTGGACATAGACAACATGGCGGGAGTGTTCTATATGCTTCTGGTTGCCATGGGCCTAAGTCTGCTGGTGTTTGCATGGGAGCATCTTGTCTATTGGAAGCTCCGCCATTGTTTGGGCCGCTCTGGAGGAATGGACTTCCTACTAGCTTTCAGTCGGGTGAGTGACCCAAATAAAAAGCAAGATAATATAAATATTAGGGCTGTCAATTGTTTTTTTTTGTTAAAACGTTAATGCATTCCGTTCATTTTTAAGGAAAGAAAACGAAATAATATATGTAATTATTGTTCTTCAATTTGTGTTAATGGCACTCAAAATATATGTGCATACTTCCCCCACCACCACTGAACCACATTCCTCCGCCGATGATTACATTAACATTTTTATGAATGATGGCGTTCCACTTGTGGATGATGTTTCACTTTTTAAGCTTTGATGATAATTACATTACATCATATAAAGGCTGCAAATGACTTTACAATTGTTAAATGTCCCATCTGGGTTTGATTTATAAATAAATAATCTGTAGAATAATGGTTTTCTCAGTCATTTAGGCCACTGATAAATGGGAGCTCCCATAGGGAATTGTGCATGTGTGTGAGAGACTTTCGATGTGGCTCCAAACTGTTTCAGTCAGTTCTGAAAGTGTCCCATTCATTTTTAGAAATCACACAGAACGGATCAAATTTAATATCAAACTCTTTTTCATATATTTATATTTCACACTTAAAATTTTAAAACATTTAACTAATCACAAGTATTAACTTTAATTTTCACAGCCCTTATAAATATACTTATTTTATGAATATTTCTTATGAAACTGTGCTGAAATTTGAGAGAAAGTGATTAAATACATTAATTGTGTCATAATGATCATTTCATTCCAGCTCTGCAAACTAAAATCTGTAGCCCAGTAAATGTAAAACTGAACCTAATAAACAAAACTGGAATCATTTAAATGTATTTGCAAGTAAAAGGAAAGATTACTCTTTTTGCAATTCTTGTTACTTGCAACAAGAACAAAGACTGACACGCAGTAATCTCTCGCAATCAGGCGTTAAATCCTTAGAAGGAGACTTTGCAGCACACTCCTTTATTTCCTGTAATTTCTAAAATGTGATGGCACATCCAGCATTCCCATTGCACACACAGAGGGATTTTATGAAAGCCTATAACTTCTCTTATAGTAATGAATAGGGGTGGAAAAGGATGATAGAAGATGGATCATTTATTCATTCTGCATTATCACAATCTGTCTTTGTGTACATTGTGGAAAGAATTAGAAGAACCTTAAATCCCCCTTGCAAGCAACCAGACTTTTTATGAGAGTATTGTAAGGCAGTTAGGTTAGATGGAACACTCAAAGAGTGAGGTCAGCATTGCCATTACCACAGAGAATGGTTAGCTGAGCTTACAGTGTGTACTCTTGCATCATTAAAGCACTGGGAGCTTTACAATTTCATTTTTATGGTAATGTTTCACGTCTTTACCAAGACATTTTCTAAGCGTCTAAATCGGTTTGTATGTCACCAAGGGAAATATTATGATATCCTGAACTGTTTGCTAAGTAAATCTTTTGCTTATTATCTCTTACAGGGAATGTACAGCTGCTGCAATTTTGAGGATGAAACAGCTCCTGGAGGCTCCCAAAGCACACTTCCTCAATATCATCATGTCTCCACAGTTCCTCCTCCTCCACCGCCTCATGTGATCTCTGCAGCCTTGGCCAATCCCCCCATCGCTATGGCACAACAGCAGCAACAACAAAAGCAACACCACCAGCAGCCACCAGTATACAATGCTCTTCTTCCTGGCTCCCCTCCTTCAGGTGGACATTCTGGAATGGCACTAGGGCCATCGAACAGTCCCATTCTTGGAGCACCCATGCCTTGCTCTACATTCCTACCAAGGCATGATCGTCGATTAGCTGTTGTGAATCGGTGGACACGTCCAAAGGTGGGCCCTGAGAAGCCTGGCGGTGTGAACAGTGGGATAACAGACTTAACGCAATTCCAAGGCATGCCCCCTCACTGGGGTGCAGGAATAAGTGGAGGAGAGGAGGGTCTGGATGAGTACAAGAGATACTATGGGCCAATTGATCCAGAAGGCTTAGGGGTCTCTGCCGAACCTCAAAACATAGGCACCCAAACTCCAAAAATGAAGCATCATGGGACGAAATCCTCTGGAAACCCATGGTTACCTCCTAAAGGTCAAGCCTCTGGACACGCTGAACCTCAAAACATAGGCATCCAAACTCCAAAAACTAAGCATCGAGGGACAAAATCCTCTGGAAACCCACGGTTACCTCCTAAAGGTCAAGACTCTGGACACTTACCAATTAACCCTGCTTTGCCACATCCCTCTCCACCTCTGCAATCTATCTGGAGGAGAAGCAGCTTCTCAAAAAGGAAGGGTTCAGGGGGGCCACTCTACGAAAACATCCTTCCACTCGGAAGGAGAGGTGGTGGCAGATATGGAATGAGGGATGGGGGTGGGAGAAGAGGACGTCGTCCTCCTCCTCTTCCTCTGCCTATACCTGTGCCCCTCTCTTCCCCAACACAGACTCTGCCCTCACCTTCTCCATATGTATGCTACACATCCAATTCCTCCAGCAGCTCCAGCACCTCCAGTTCATCCTCTTCTTCAGAATCAGTCTCCCGATCCAATTCTCCCTCTTCTTCATCATCGTACACATCATCACAGAGCTTCAGATACCGGGCAGATGTACGAGATGTGTATGAGGACTATGACACAGATGAGCTTACGGAGGAGGAGTCAAGCTTGCTTTTGGGGAGGAGAAAAAGTCGTTCACGTATGTCCTCTCGATCCCTGCCTAGCAGTCCTCCACCACCACCTATACCACCCCGCAAACCTTGCGGACAGAGGGCGCAGGTGAGAGACAGAGCAGGCAGCCAGATTGCACAGCTTCAAGAGTGGTGGACCTCTTGGGGAGAGAAAGAAAAGGGTAGAAGAGCAACTGGAGATAGAGATGTTAAGGAGGAGAAACAACATCATAAAGAAAGGGAAAGAGAGAGAAAGAGGAGGAAGAAGGGTAGAAAGAAAAAGAAGAGAGAAGAGCGTGAAAAAGAAAGGGAGAGTAAAAGGCGTAAGGTGAAAAAGAAAAAGAAAAAAGAGGAACAATCAAGAAGAAGGGAGAGGGAAAAACGAACTGAACAAGAGGAGGTAGATATGGACAGGAAAGATGTCTTTGAAAAAGGAATAGGACAGGAATACTCTTCTTATCCTGCACTGAGGCGAAGCTCTTTCCGAAAAAAGAGTGAAAGCTCTACAAGGAGTTATGAGTGGGATACTATCAGAGATGGAGTAAAGAGAGATAGGGATGATCAAGGTGGAGAAGATGAAGAAGGCAGTAGAGGAAAGGAAAGGCATCAGAGAAGCCCAAAATCACAACGCCACTCCAGGCCAAGGTCCAACAACAAGCATTTTTCTTGCTCAAACAAACCTTCTTCAACAGTCAAATTTTGGAGTAGTGGGAACCCAACTTCTGATTCACCATCGTCTTTTGTACCCTTGCTTCCCATATCTAAAAGACGAAAGTATGTAGGAGCTGAGAGAGATGAGCGAGGAAGAGGTGGAGAGAGTCGGCCCCTTTTGGGAAAAAACAAGAGAGTTAAGCCTTGCTCGAGAGAAGGCCTGTCATTTCACGAATGGGATTCCGAGGAAGAAGAAGATGAGGAGTCTGAAGTGGAAAGAAGTAGGCCAGAAGAACAGGGGCGACGACGAGAAAGCAGAGGAATGGACTCTGAATCCGAAAGGGACAGAGAAAAAACTGTTGAGATATACACAGATGATGAGGGTTCCTCAGGAGAGTTTGGTAAGTTTGAGAGATATTGGGAGGGTCACGAAGGAAGGGCAGTTGGAGGCATTGGAGGAGGAGGATGGTTCTTTGGCACCTACCCTGCCAGAGAAAGAGGAGGCAGCATAAACAGTAGAGATGACTCTTTTTTAGGGTGGGGTGGTGGAGAAAGTAGCTTGGGGTTCAGAGCAGGAACAGGGTGGGGATCAGAAAGATTAGGATCAAATCAGTGGCCTCCAACTCCATTGACTCCCCCACCTCCTCGAAGATACTGGTCTGTTGATAAATTACCAGTGAAGACCGAAAATAAATCTAAAAGCAGGTCTCAAGAGAAGAGTCGAGTCCACACATCCTGTTCCTGCCAGTCACCCCATCACTTTGCCAGCACTCACTCCAAATGGAATCGGGTGACTTCTAGGAGTCAGGAGGAGCTATTCCCTCACTGCCACAGTTTCAGCAGCAGTGTAAGACCCAAACGGCAATCATCCAAACCAGATCGGGCTCAGAGCCAGGCAAAATCTGGAAGCCAATCCAACCTCAGTGCACAAAGACCACAACGCTCAGACCGGTCCCGACAACCGCCGTCCCCTCCTCAGAGTCTACCGCCATCTTTACCCCCTCCAATGGTCCCTGCACTCCCAGCCCCACCCTCTTCCTCTCACCATATACATGTACCTCCACCTACCTCCTCCTCATCAGTGTCCTCCCCATCGGTTGTCTCATCTACACCTGGTGCCCCACAGCCCTCGTCTTTGTCCTCCTTTAGTGCTAAGCTCCAGTACCAGAAACTGCGATCGTTTACCCAACCCCAAATGTATCAATCCCCACATCTTCCCCTCAAAACCAAGAGCCTGTGCTCTCGTCGAGGCTCTGCCCACTTCTCCAGTGTGGAGAGTGAGGTCTGAGGAACATAATTAAATGAGGAACATCAGCAAGTAGCCCCTAGGGGCGATCAAATCACCTGCTCATGCCACAAACTGTTAACTGTTCATAGCAGTCGAGTTGGGTTGTTTTCGCTGGCACCCATCTCTTGCACAAAGCTCTAATGCTCAGAGACAAACCTGGATTGGGATGTCACATAAATTGTAGCCCTTTCTCTTTACTTGTATAAGAATGGAATACTGTCATGCTGACAAATCTTTTTGATGTTAGCGAGGCTGTTTGTATGGGATTGGCTTTGCTTTTCTTACTTCTTGGGGGCTTTAAGGTGGAGCGTCAATAATGTGGGTAAATGTGATTTTTCTTGGAGTGTTTTGCTGCTCGATGGCTCTGGAACGATTTTTTGAAGGGAGATTCTGAGGTCAAAATACAAAGCCCTAACATCCCACGCCCATCTTTTTTTCTCTCTTGCTCTCAGAGCTCTGAATCATGATGTAATTGTTGTGTATATTTGTTCAAAATCTCTCAAGGGAAGCTTTCACAAAGGAAAGTAGCAAACCATTTTTCTCTTCTCAGAGCATTTTTCTTGACCTCCACCTTCCGCAAACTGACATCTAGCATTCTGTGAGTTGTTGTCAGTGTTTGTATTCCTAGCAACAGGGTAAGTTAGCCATGACTGATCACATATTGGCTTACTGAAGCTGAATGCCAAACTGAGCTGATGTACAGTCCTGTTCCGGTGAAACCATTTCACAGGTCCTCATGTTTCATTCTTGTCCCTTGAGCAATACATAATTAACTACATACAACATACAATACATTAGGGTGACCATACGTGCCATTTTCCCAGGACGCGTCCTGGCCAGGATTTCTATATTGCCTAAAATATCTAGGTTTTGGCTTTGTTTGCGTGTGCAGACCGATCGGTGTATGACATCAAAATATATTAATATATCAAAATGAATATATCAAAATATATTAATATATATTAATAACATAAAATACTTTAGGCAATATAGAAATCCTGGCCAGGACGCGTCCTGGGAAAATGGCACGTATGGTCACCCTACAATACATATATTTTATATTTACAAGTTATTTTATTATATATAATATATATATGTTTTGTGATCTGGTTCAAAACAGTTGTGTTGAGTTATTAAAAGAATATAAGCACTGTGCTGTAGGGCACATGCAATGTTTCAACTACCTATAATCGGTGGCAGCCCTTCCCCTCTCGACTGAATGTACGTGTTGCCATGACAACACAGTGTGCAACCAAGACACTTTTAAGATCGTAGCTTTCTCGGGGGAGACCTTCTCGTCAGAGCCAGTTAGGGTAGCTTTGAATGCTGATGTTGAGAGTGCCAGGATGACAGGGCTAGCCATACTGCAGCACTATACTCGCTAACCGAAATGTCAGTGAGTGATGAAAGACATGTCATCATTCAGAGAGCGATAAGGCGAAGGAGAGCACTGTTTACAGTTTTACACTGTGTTTTTACACCTTTTTTTTTACAAGCTGCTCTGCTCTGCCATTTATTAGTTTTGGACACGATATTCATACTTGCTTAGCAAGTTTGCTTAAGCTGTATAAGTAGCAGCAAGAATAAACTGGTCAAATAATAGCATTTTATGCTTTTACTAGACATATCTGTTTAGTAAAAAAAAAAAGCCAGATCAGGATTTAAGTTACATGTGAGGAAAAGACTGATTAGCAAGCCAGTCAGGTAGATCTTTGTTTAATTTAGCTTTTACCAATAGCCAAAAGCTAGCATCTTTGAAGTGATCGCTATAATTGACTGTGAATATTGCTAAGGGCAATGCGTGTTGGCAGCAGGTCTGAGTCAACTATGTTTAATTTTATTTATACAGTATTTTGTTTAGACAGTATTTAAAATGTTTGTCAGCAAAGTATTAGTATGATTTCTGTGTTTCTTTTGTTTCAGATTAATGAATTTTGTAATGATGTTGCCTTGACAAAGCCAGCATATTGTAATTGCAAAAAAATTATTTAGGGTTTTTCAAAATTCCAACACCTTTGTGTTTAATCAGAGGATGTTCAAGCTACATCCACCAGACTCAGTATGCTGTTCTGACTTAGGTATGTTTTATATTTTTCTGATTAATCAGGTTTGTGATTTTCCCACAGAATATTCAAAAAAAAAAACAAAAAAAAGACCAAATATAAATTAATAAATCCTGAATATGTTTATGTATAAATCTTTAAGTATTCAAGCTCAAGGCTTTTCAAACTTTCAAGCAGGGCTTTGTCAAGCCAGCAGCAAAGTTTGACTATTTTCAATTTGGTTTGAAACATTGTATGCTGTTATTTATATATGTATGAATTTATTTAAGTACATATTTGACACAGAACCACGCACAGTCCAACAGGCTAATTGTTTTTTTTGTGTGTGCTTGTAACTGCATCTGAGCCATGTTAAGCTTATTTGTTGTATGTTGAGCTTTTTACAAGTAGTACTAATTAATTGGGGTATATTTTGTTGTCAATGGGCTAAACAGTAATGTCCAGAGACTTTGGAGTACTATAGAAACATAATGGGTGATGATGATTTTTATTTTTTTAAACACTGATGACTTCTATTTGGTGAAATCGGGAGGGCAGTAACACAAATCTTGTCAATTCTGACCACAATCATAACACTCTGCCTCACTGTCACAGATTTCGGAGTAATTCTGAGTAGTGTTGACCAGTTAACATTTAGAATATTTGGCAGCTTATATATGTATATCCTTTTGACTTCAACTTTGTCGTGTAATACGTGTCTGGATTACTTTATATATAGATGTACCTCATATATGTGTCTGTGACGTTTAGATAGCAATAGAGAAATAGCTGTTCAGCAAAGCAGTATAGCTGAAGACAAGAGTATTGTTTTCAAACATTTCTGTCAGCAGACTTGATAATTAAGATGTTTCATGTATTAGCTGTGAAAAATTATTTAGATTTCTCTGTCCATTCCATTGTGCACATTAAAGGCAGTAGACAGCTTTGATAAAACATTTGGGCTGAAACAGCAAGGACCTTACGATAATGTCGTTTTTCTTTTCATTTTCAAATGATAAAATATCAGGCATATTGCACAAGTTTTATTAGGAACCGCCGCCACCAAGAATCTTAAAATGGCCTTTCTCTAGACATGTGTCTTCTTGTGTTGATAGTGTCTTTGACAGTAAATGTTTTGTTTGTTTGTTTGTTTATTACTCTAAGAATAAGTCTCTTATCAAAGCAGCAGCATATAAATATATACATATAGATATAAATTATATATTTCAACAAATAACTTGCATATAATGTTTATCTACTAAATTTATCTTTGAATTGGTCTTCTTTTGTCTCTTTGTCCTCTCCCGTCTCATAACAGCTGACATCAGAGACCAGTTTTCAACTGTGTTTTTATGAATAACATGGCCGACCATCGACCACAATGAATTTATGTTGCAAATAACCAACGCTGTGATTGAGGTGTGTATGTGTCACTGTGGTGAAAGTTTTGGGACGTGGTGATGCACAGCTGTAAGCTCCACACTAGGATCACTATGAGCGTAGCAGGTCTTAGCAAATGGATTTGACCTCGCTACATCAAAATCTTTACAGTCTTCACGTGTGTCTCACAGGCCTGGCTTTTTTGGAAACGGTATGTGTGTGCGCTCTGTCTGTGCCAAGCTGCAGTGTGTTATGCTGAAAACACATTCGAACACATGCGATGCTGCTCTGTAATACTTTATGATAATGTAGCTGAGCAGAGCCAGTTATGTTTTATGCCACTCTGTGCCAGGACGGTAGTGCACCCCCCGGTACCACTGTGTTAGGTTCTTGTGCCATACTCCTCTCAGTAGGGGAGCCTCACAGGGGGGCCACTCGCTGAGCCACTCGACCAAGGGAGACTATACTATGCTGTGCTGCAAGCAGAACAGAATAAAAGACTTTTAATACAACAGCGTTTGGTCTGTTTTGTTGTTTTCAGCGCGTGTTCAACAGAGAATGTTTGTGATTGACAGCAAACGCGATGAATAATTGTGTAAGTCTTTGTTTTCTAGGTTTCTGGGGAGAGAGAGGACATGAAAAGAAAGAGTGAAAAGCCTTTTGAAACCACTGGTGAGGACACCTACGTTTTACCTTGATTAATGCAGAGAATTTTAAAGAAGCTTTAATAGAGTTGGGAGAGCCCTTTTATACTGCTGTAAAACACAAATGAGAGCTTATTAATATATCAGATGTTGCTTCTAGACAGGGCCAACACTTCTCATCAAATTCTTCATAGACAAAATTGTCTGAGCTCTTTACTATACTGTACACAGTGTTATTTTAATATTTGTATATTATAGTGTTTCTTTTATTTAGTATTTGTATTAATTTTTTTTCTTATTCTCAATTTTTTTTAATTTAATTTTAATTATACATATAATGAATTATATATTATTGATTGAATTATATACGCGTGTGTGTGTGAGTTATCCACACAATCTGTATATGATATCAATAAAAACATGTCGTCAGATTATATTGTTAAGGATGATTATTGCCGTTTCCATAGACATCAGCGTGTATTTTACAAACTGTAAATGTATGGTTTTGCTAGTACTTATGTGTATTTAAATGTCTTAAACCTAAAATAAGCATTATATGGTTGAAAACACTGAATATTTGTGATAATATGACAAGCGCTCAGCGCATCCAATCTGGCTCTGCGCCAGCCAAAGCGCGAAAGCGGATTTAAATTCGGCGGTTGATGACGTGACGCACTGAAAGTTCTAATCACACCGCCAAGACTGATCACACTGGTGTGATCCTACGCGTTGAAGGATTAAGCTATCATATGGCTTCAGAAGTAACACAGAATAATTCGCACAATCTGAAAAAAATAAAATAAAAATCTCGGATTTAGATCGGCCCTCTCTGACCGATACACGATACGAGAAAAATGGCACTATCGGAGCCGATACCCGATATGAATATCGGATCGACGCATCCCTAGTTAGCAACCACAACATTTTACCCCCTCCCACCAAGCTTAAGTATGAAACGAAGTTTCAAAGTCCTGGAAGTGTGCAGGACGTGCCCTTGTCCTCACAGGGTGAGTTGTCATAGGGACATCCTCAGATTGTGGGCTCTGACAGTGTTCGGTTCTTGCTTCCTGTCCGGTGACTACATGTTGTGAAACATGTCCGGTGAAACCCGTGCCCGAATCGAAGTGTTCACTATGACTTGGTGGGCCAGTCAACAGGTTGCAAAGGTGGCGGTGCTGGAGCACCTGTTTTACCACTAAGCAGACAAAGTGCACAGTCATGTACAAGAGTTTCTAGCTCTCTGTCAATCCCTGGCCACCAAACCAAATCTCAGCACCTCTGCTTCAGTCTAACTACCCCCACATGACCCTCATGTGCCATTGACAGCACCCGCCCCCTAAGGGACAGAGGAATGACTGCTCGGTGCCCCCGTGCAATGCATGACTCACCCCC